TGAGTGTGCTTGTGAATCGAGCGTCTACATGGGGAGTGGTTGGTTTCGGTGTGTTCTGGTGCCAGTGATGTGACTGATGTATGTCTCGCAGGCATGCTTGTGAAACCGAACCTCTACACGGGGAGTGGCTGGCTTGGACGTGCTGGGATGCCACTGATGAGTGAGTTGTGTGTGTGCTTGTGCGTGGCGCATCTCCATGCGGATTGGCTGGTGTTGATGTCATTGGTCTTCCTCCTTCGATACCCCTGGCATCGATTCAGGGGAGCGTGTCCTTGGGGATTCGGTGCCAGAAATATGCTCTGGAATGCAATGAGAAGCGAGCGTCCGCGGCCTTTCCTGAAAATTGAGCTTGCGCGAGTGGAAGGGTAAAACGGTGTCTACATGGGGGTTAACGTCTGATGATGTGTATTCTCGCCGTTGATGTGTAATTCCTCGAAACAGCGTCCACACTCGGGTGATGTGTATTTTTCGGCGACTGACGTGAGATAAACTCTACGCTCGTAGCCGGAACGCCTTCGATGTTTCACCTTTCGGAAGCGTGGCGCTAGCATACATGGTCGCACCTCGTGAGTCGTAGTAGTTCTACAAGTTGTCTACCTCCTGAGTCGAGCTTGCCAACTCTTCATTGAGGTGTTCACCTTGGTTGGTGTTTTTAGCTGCTGGCTCCTTCTGATTTGTGACCATATGAATGGGTGGGCAAGCAAAGTAGTTTCACGCTCTGGCCATGACACATGGTCGTTAGCGGACTCGTCTCTCTACCTCGTACCTCGGCACGAGTGGGACACCATCAACTGCTAGCTGAGAAGCGTATAGATGCATGCTATGAGTCGAGCTAAGGGGAGGCCGTTCGCGACGACTTCGCGCCGCGCGTCGGCGACCGGAGCATCAAGATTCATGTCGGCAAGCCGGACGTTGCGAGCGACCCTTGCCCCCGCGCCAATTACTCGCCTTTGATGTCCCGTTGACCCCGTCGAGTCTCCGGGCCGCACAACTCCCCTCGTGGTTCGGTGGGCTCGGCCAGCGTTGCGCGAGCGCTGACCGCCACGCTTCGCACTCCTCCCGTCATCCTTGCCCGCGCACCTGCCACACCATGGCGCAGCTGACCGCCTCCGCAGAGCCGCAGAGCACAGAGCACTGCGCGCTGAAGCGGTTTTGATTTCCGCCGCCGCTGCAGTCCTAGCGGTCCTAGCGCGACAGCACCGCTGCGACTCCGGCTTCAAGGCCCCGGACTAGTCTACCGGTGAAGCCCCTGGTGACCGTCAGCCGTTCAAAGGCTGGCAGCGGCTCGCAGCCCTCGCGTGCGATAAACGTGCGTACGAGATGCACTTTTCTGACCTCACACCCGCGTTGCTGCTGTCCCATGTTGGGCCTTTCGCCGCCCCTGTTTTCAATGTCACGCCCACATGCACGGGATAACGTCACTGTACCCAGTGCCCTGTTTCGCGTCCTCCTTGCCTACGGCTCCTTCTGCCGCTGGCGCCGTGCAGGTGCAGCTGTTGCGGGCAGCTTGTGACGTGCTCGGCAACCATTGCACAGCATGCGCCACTTCCGGGTTCTGGCCACTCAAGCCCTGTCCCTTGAGCGCGCGTCTGCCGAGAGGCCGGCGGAGACGCACGATTGGAGGAGCGAGCAGTCAGGCAGCTTGGTCGTCGAGGTGAGGAATGCGCTACAAGAGGCGGTTGTGCTCGACGCGCTTGTGCCGGAGCTGATGGTCGACGACGTTATGGTGGCGGAGAGGGGATCCCAGCACGGTGAGGCCTTGGCTCTTGGTGGGGAGGGACCAATCACCAACCCAAACAGGCTCGACGCCGCCTCCGAGGTCGGCGACTGCTGGCAGGTCCTGGCGGCATTCCAGATGCGACTTTTGCCCTCGTGGAAGCGGATTCGCGCACTGAGGGCATCGTAGAGGGCGCCGCGCGCTACATGTTCTGATTGTACACGGCACACCTCAAAGGGCAGCAACTTTCCCAGGGAACGAAGGACCCCTCACGTTGCTTGGCGTCGTCGTTTGAGCCGTGCTCGAGCACCGTCGAGTCGGCGATATCGGCCCTCTCAAGTCTTCGTCTTCCCTTTGGAAGCTGTGTCTCAAGTCCATTATAAGATTCACGTCTCGCTTTGGGTGTGGACATAGGTTCGAACATATGAGTTTATGAGGGGGTGTTGCTAGATGCATATGCCAATATGAAGCAATGGAAACCTTTGAATGCATCAAGCAAGGCCTTCAGCAGGCCTGTGTTTAAGTGGTTCGTATCTTGCGGCTGCAAGGACTGTAGAAAGGTTAAGCTGATCCGGCCTCACCGGGACATGTCACGCTTGGCGTCTGGACACCTGCCATCCCCACGATCTCTGGCGCCGCAGATGGCCTCACAGAACCAAGCACAAATCAAATCGGCTATTTTCTGAGTTCTGCTGCATGTACCTCGGTTGCTTGGCTGCTTCTACTGTCGCTCTCTCCTCGCAGCAACGGACACGATCGCCATCATGGCAACTGAATGCAGAGGAATTTGCCTGTCCTCTGGGCTTTGGTGGAACAAAGCCATCACTCTCTGCTGGAGGATTGCCTGCCCAACGTGCCCCACCGTGTGTTCGCGACCACGTGTTAGTCAGAAGTCAACAGGTTTGATGTGACATGCCTTGACCCTTAATAAAAGGAATCGTGCTTATGTGATCATCGGAATGCAAAGGCAGATCTCACTCCCCCACAACCAAGCTGCGCAGGAGCTACACAGGAGTAAATGGAAACGTGTGAGTAACACGAAAGCTTGATAATCTTGATACTTGAGCCTTGCAATGCCTTGCGCCACTCTTGCTAGACGAGGCCTAGGCCTGCCTTCTCGGACTTCTCCGGCTCCGTCCGCTCGGGCCACGGTCTGCGGTCTGCCGGCCGCTCGTCTCGGCACGGCCTCCCAGGCACCGGAGACACAAGTAACAGATGACAGAACTGTTGCCCTCACCTGGATGAACTCCCGCCACAGCCTTCAAACAGGCATCTTTCTGTCCCAAGGGCTGTCTGGAGAGTCGCGGGACACCTCTGGGGTCTTGCAACCATGCCTGACGAAGGGGAAGTGCGCACAGATCCGCGCAGCACTGAAAGCCGGCGCCCCGACCAATCGACTCTCGAGCTCGGCTGCTCGTAGCTCTCTCTGCTCGACAGAACGCCTCTCAGTCAGCCCTTGCTTTCGGCACTGATGGGTCTTCTGCGCCGCACATTTGCGGCATCTTTGTGCAAGTTGGAAGCGGGGAAGCCAAGGCTAAGGCCTCCTCGCTGCGAACTCGTGCATGTTTCGGGACTCTGCCTGCAAACACAGCGCAGGCCCAGAAGTGGCCATTCAGCAGACCCTGTCGTCTGCTTGCTTGCTTGCTTGGTTCCTCGGCAACTTCGTCTTGGCGGGTCTGCAGCCTCCAAAACACACAGCAGCAACCTAAGCAAACCTGACTCGCGCCCTCCGAGGCCAGCACTCTGCTTCCCTGGCTGCCAAGTCTCGCTCCCGTTTTACCAGCTCCTGAGCTAGACATCGCGGCAGAGTGGCGAAGGTCTGAATGAGCGGCGCGCAGCTTCATCTTCCGCAATCCGCTTCTCTCTCGTTGCAAGGCGACCTGCAATGCAAGGCACATCTCTAAACAGCAGACAGAGCCAAGTGCTACCAGCCTGCGCGTTCGCTGAGCCGCAACCCAGCCACCTGTCGGAAGTCGTCACATGTCGTCACGACTACTTAAGCGCACCTTCACCAACTGCCCACCCAAAGACCACGCACTTTGCATTGCCTCTACGTCGCTCGCCTTCGTCACGTCCCGCAGTGCGTTTTCCTCATGTCTACTTACAATCTGGTCAAGCACTGCATTCTTCTCCGGAACTTGAACTCGCACCTGCACTTGCTTCTCCTTGGCCAGCGACACCTCCCTCTCTTGAATCACCTGCCAAGGCTTCAAAAGCTTCAACGAGGAGACAACGCCCAGCTGGGAAGAAAAACAGTACATGTGCTCATTGGGGATGGGCTGGTGGAGCAAAAATCACATAACCCTGCAAACTTGAGATCAAATCCCCTCTATGCTTCACTGACCAAGCGGAAGTGAGGCAGTGCGGCATCTAGGCAACATGATGACTCGCAGAAGGCAAAGTGATGCTCCTGTCTTTCACTAGCAGATCAGACCACGGAGTCGAAAGCCCGACTCGTTCCTCAGGAGTCTTACTTGCGTGCATCAGATCAAGATCAGACCTACCAGGCTCCCTCGTCACTAGCCACAATAGGGAACGAGTCGGAGTCAGGCAAATCTCTGGACATAAGCAGCTTCCAGATTGCCGGTAGACATCAGAATGTAGGACACCCTTGGTGCCTGTCCGGAATGCTGGCACTGCCGAGTAAGCAGCTGTTTCCTGGAATCTTATCTTCACAAGCTGCCCCAAACGGATGAAAGATGATGAAAGTCCCTGGCAAATAGTATGTGGTGGAGCCTGGCCCTTTCTTTGTAAGATTTTTAAGGCCCAAGGCATCATGATTCCGTACTTGACTCCATTAGAGACGCATCTCTGTAGTGTTGGCTGTTGGGCCGTCGCTTGGGGCACTGAAAGAAGCGTTATCAGCGCAATGGCTGCAGCCAACGCTGGGCAGTCTTCTGCCAATCTAGGGGCTTGGATGCGCAGCCAGCGGTGGGCCCCTTCCAATATCGGGCCCTTTCAATATATCCACGGCTCGATAAACAAGGTTGCAATGCCGATGCCGGGGTCCAGTCATTGCGTGGCATGCCAAGCCCCTCATTCAAGCTTGCAGCAAAAATTGTCAAAAAATAAACGCATGATGCCCTATATGTAGTCTCGTTCAATGCCACTGTTTTCAACGTTAAAGGCTGCCCTGTACTTGCAGAAGAGCAGCCCATTGCTTAAACTCTCTGCGCGCTTGGCACAGACAATATCAAGAGTAAAACGGGCAAAGACCTGATAACATGATATCGGATATCGGCATGTCGGCAAATGTCTGCTGCTCGGCTGGCTTCAGGCCACTTCAGGACTCCTTAGCTGCATCACAGCTTTCTGATGCACAGAAACAATGGCTCCTTGATCCTGTTTTGTGCATACGAGTGGCGACGAGCTCATACTCAACACCGGAGACATCGTTCGCTGTTTTTGCCTGTGACGGGCAAATGCTGCACTTCGACGTAGTATGATGCATGAGCACTGTAGTTAGAAACACGGTTTGAGTGGACAGGCTTTCGTAGACAAGCACCGTATCTTGCTTGTAATTCCTGCGGCCTCGAACTCCAAGGCCTCATCCGCGGGCTTGAAAGCAGCCCACCTCAAGCGCGAAGGATCATGGACGGGTGTACCCAGATGTTTACTTCTTGGACCCTGGAGCACCTGCTAGCCAGTAGTTGGAGCTTCAACGACAGAGGCTCGCACTTGTCAACGACAACTCGAATGTAGCCCTTCACCATCCTCACTGAAGTGTTCTGCATCCTGGCGTTGCTGCGCAAGCAAGTTGACAATGCACTGGAAAAGATGAGCTTCACCAGATGCCGCACTGTCAGTTGGCAGGTCCTGATTGATGCACCAACCTTGCACACGTCGGCCACCTCCTGACAAGGAGGCCAATGGGCGAAACACTACAGAATGGCATGCCCCACAAACCATTGAGATCTCTCGACTTCGGGCAGGCCTTGTTTCGGAAGGAAATCGTGCAGACACCTGCACACACTTCGGAGTGAGCGTCAGAACTGTGGCTTCTGAGATGCGTCCATGTCATTGAGCCATCTCCCAACACGCGAGAACTTCAGGGCTGAAGTAGTTCAGTGCATCCTTCAGTTAGCAGGGCCTGTGTCGTCGCCGCAGATAGCTTCCCAAACGCCTTCAGTGCCTTCGACCTTCAAGGCCAAGCAGAACACTGCTTCGACGACAACAGGTCTAAAGCTTCTTGCAGAGATCGCTGCAAGACAAGAGCACCAAATTCAGACATTAGGGGTCGGGACCTAATTCCTGTTGATGGTTCGAAGGGGCTGGCAGGGCTGGCTCTTGTTTTTGAACCCGGGATATCAGATCGGGGCACTGTTGTTTCTATCTCAAGGACGTTGTTTACTTTGATTGGCCAACAGTTGGCCACAAAGCATCTTTTTGGAGGCTGCCCGTATCCCGCAACCGCATCCTCCTAAAGGCCTCCCAGCCTCTTAAAACCATGCCGAATTTCAGTGGGTGAGAGACATAATTTCGAAAACCTGCCTCAGTCTCTGGAGGTATATTTCTAACTGAAGGGAGCATCCGTCATCCGAAACAAGCTTCCGATCGCTGTCGCTGTAAGTCTGCCGTGCTCATGAGTGCAACAGCGACCTGCTCGGCTGCCTTGGTGCACTTGAGCATGCAGTTGAAGCCCTGGCAGTGCGTCTGCAACTTAGCTGTTCAGATACACTGTACAGGGATCGAACACTGTCGTCACAATTTCTCATCTTTTCCAGCCGCTTTTGACACTCCAACTACATTTCAACATCCTTAGACTCAGCCTTCGTGTTAGCTGGCTCTTCCTACTTAACATGACAGCCTCCATGACTGCCTTTTCCAACTCAACCTCAGCCTCGCCCGGTGCATCTGATCTCCGCATGTCGCAGAAGGCTGAGTCTCCATGGTCACGTGCTATGCAAAGAAATCCGATTCGTGACTCGGCACGTCGGCGTGTGTACTGCACGTAATTCCACCTCATGCGCCGGTATATCTGCATCGACCTACAGCCAAACACCAAGACGTGCTGCTACATGTAGCTGCTGAAATGAGGAATGCTCTAGCATGGTTATGGCCCGGGTTGCTGCAAAACCCAACCCTTTAAATAAATAGGCTGCATCGAGCCGTCTTGCGGCCCAGGCTGGCCACAAGCAAGAGTATCACTCTCACCTCGACCACGGTGAGAAGTAAACAGAGCAACGCTCTGCCCTCCTGAATCAGCTGCAACCATGCTGCAGTCAACGAGGGCTAGCCATTCGAACCCTGGACCTTTCTGCTGGTTTGTATCGCCCTCGTCTTGGCAAGTGCCGTTGCGAGGCTGCACCTGCAAACATTGCTCCAAACGAAGGGGTTCCCCCTGATTTATCAGTCAGGCGTGATGCGACTTAAAAAGCAATCCAAAACACCCGCCCAGCTGCATGTTCTCAGAAGTCGGAAATTGATCGTCTACCAGAACACAGCGACAGCTAACACTTATGCTGAAGGATGCTCATGATCACACATGCCACAAGCACTGATCATCTTGATCTTGCCTTGCCACTACGCGCCGAACCCACTGGCCTTCTGGTTTGACGACTTCTGAGACGTGCGGGAAAGCTGTACTGTATAACAGTGGCAAACTGATCACCACTCGAACAGGGTGAAGCCCTTAGTTGTGGTCCTGCTTGTGACTGGATGCCGGAAGCGTTGTCCTACTTCGCGAAGCGACCCAGACGCAGCACTGATAACTCGAGCAAAAACCAATTGTGCAAGGCCCTGCGAAACCACGGCAGGACCACAGCCAACATACTTTGAAGGGCAGCAAACCTTTCTCTACTGCAATGCGTGTTTGCATCGCCAAAGGCTGCTTCAAGCCGCACAGCTCGCAACCGTTGTTTGTGCAACATCCGCTGCAGTAAAAGTGCATCCAGTCTTGACATGAAGCGGACCTCATAAAGAGGATGTCGAGCAAACAACTGTGGAAGAAGCAAGGACTTCGTCGCAGTGTGGTGTTCTTGGTAGCTTGGGTAGCATCTTACGAAGTCCTTATGGAGTTAGCCTTTTGTTCAGCGGAAGAGCCAGCTGAAATCTCTGACACATCTGCAAATCTGTTAGGGCTGGGCTGAGCTCTCTCTCCCACATGAACAACAAGCTCCCGGTAAACGCATGCTGGCGAACATCTGTCCGTGAATTGGGCAGCTCGAAGGTCAAAGCGTGTGCAGGCACAGCAGCAAGGAGGTGATGAACAAGAAGCATAATAGTTTTACAACATGCGGCTCGCTGAAGCCGCCCCAATTCTGCATCATGCATACCACACACGCCGTGCCTCTGTCGGTCTCTGCCCTATGCAAATCCAAAGCTCTCTGTTGGCAATGCCTTGCTCAGCTTGCACCGCAACTTCTCCTTGGAAGAATACCTCTGACAACATCACAGTTGATGACTCGACGACTGACGCAAGTAAATTCCAGGCTTGGGCACCTGTGCAGCACAATCTGGTTGATGCAAGTGTGCGCCTTGCAGACATGGATAACAACTACTCTACAATAAGCTGCAACCGAGGTTGCATCACAGTCTCCCTTCGGAGGTCCAAGGAGCGTGTGGGAGGTGCTCTTCCGAGCCCGCGGAAGATATTGCCTGACTGGGTAGGCCACAGACTCTGAGAAACTGTGCCAGCGCTTCCCTTCATCGACAAATCTGAACCGCCCCCCCAGGACGCGCCACTCCGAAGCGCGGCTTCAGGGCTGCAAAGCCGCCTGGCGGCCTCAGCATTGCCCAAGTTCCGGTCAACAGTCAGTTTGCGAAGGCAGCGTACGCGACTGACAACGACAAGCAACAGTCGAGCGCTGCCAGTGGCGAAGCCTTGGGCCAAGGTGGAATTCCCGAAAACTTAAACCCTGCCACCATGCCCCGCTTTCAGAAGCAGATAGCATCATGATCACATCGACGGCAACACATGGCACGATGCCAAGTGACGCAAAAGCTGCCGCCGGAGATCCTCCGTCATCTCCTAGTGTTGGGAACGCTTTCACCTTTTGGGACGTTCCGCCAGAGACTGAGTGCAGCCATAGAGTCTTCCACGATCTCCCAGAACCAGGAGATCACAAGGCCTGAAGAAATCACTGTGGGTGTTATAGCCTGTCATGCAAAAGCTAAACAGCTCGACTCACCTGAAACTTTGCAAACACACCACTTTGACATCAATGTTCCATGCCTGCATCTGCCTGTTGGTCGCTATACCGGCGCCACTCGCCTACATCCTCAGCGGGGACGAGCTCAAGACATGGAGGGAACCCATCTACGTTTGGGAAGGGGGGCTGGTTGGTCCTGTAGGACCTCATGCACTGCCTGGAGAAGGGGCGGCTGTGCCAAGTCACAGAAACCATCAGGGGAGGGTTGCAAGGGTGTCAGGCACTTTGCGATTCCTGCCCGCCCGACCTGTCACAGACATCCCATTTCTTGAAGTAATGACATCGCTTGGAACTTTTGCATACGATGTGAACATGTCCCGTCATACGGCTCCAACCAAACACATCTCTGGAAGTGCCTTTGCCCACCCCTCCATGTCGGATGGAAGCTGAGGTGCGTGAGGGTTTGTCATCGATATGTGCAATGTTGCTCGCCTCACCGAACAATAAGATGTTAATGTGGTTGCCTGGTAGGACCCCGTGACTTCCCAATGCAGGCACGCGCCGAACTCCTTTTCGCACGGCGGCTTCAAGTCGGCGCTCTTTGTGCAACGGGGAACACACGCTCTATGGCTGGAGCTCGGGTAAGCAGACGTAGATGCTTGAATTACGTTAGACTTAAGTATCTTGATCCAAAGTTGCCGTTTTGCGGAGCAAGTAATGATCACGTCCACGGTCGGACTTAGCCACCCCGTGACGTTCACATCTGCTGTCTACTGACTGGCTCTGCATAGCTCATATAGCGACACCACGACTTGCACGAGGCATCGCGGTCTGTTCGCACCCCCCATGAGTTAGACCTTCGGTCTTAGTAATTCACATAGGAAGAGAGTCGCGATTTGACTGAAATTACAAGATTAGCTCCGAGGCAACTTTGATGTTTGGGACACGGCTACGTCAACGGCGATCCACTGATATTGAAAAAATGAGAGAATCATGCCACTGAAGAAATCAGCACACAAAAAATGTGCGCACAGCCATGCACCGCAAAGCATTAGGAACTTTGCGACTGGTCTCGTCGTTGTTGAACTCGCTGTTCACGTCCTGAGCCTTCACTCGGTTCCGGAGGCGGACCTCTTGGTTCTGGAGGACGTTTGCCTTGGGCTTTGGCCTTGGTCTTGGCTTTGGCCTTCACCACAGCTTCAAGTTCTGCATCGGTCATAGGCGTGTTGAGGATACTGGTCTGACCCGCTCGTGTATACTGCTTTGGTGTGACCGTGCATGAGGTGGTTGTTGAGCTGCGCGATTCTTGTTCAACTTGTCAATGAACTTCGCTTGCATCTGGATGTTGAGTTGAAATCCACCATTAGCGCGAGCAAGGCAAGGGGAGCACCGCCGAGACCAAGCAGCATCACGGTACTGTATGGGTCGATGCATAGGACATGTTCGGTTGATCCTGCTGAGATGCAACAAAGTGAACATGCCATATCCTGTAGTCTTGCCGATGACCTTGTTGCGCAAATAGTAGCAGCTTGGAGTCCTCTGGTATATGCAAAGACCTCCTCATCAGTCACGTCCCACGAAATCAAGGTTTGTGGGTCGATCCCTGAAAGAACCTCGCCCCATTGACCTGTGACGTCATACCTCATGCCTTGTCGAAACTGTTCTTGCATTTGAGGATATTGCATATCGAGTCACCGCATGTTTCCCTTCCAATTTTTGTGAATGTAGCTGACGACGATAAATGCCATGTATGATGAAGCGGGCAATATGGAGGCGACACTGTGGCATTCTTTGACGTGGGGATAATAGGGCACCTGCATGTGCATCCTTGCATGAGCACGCCGTGGATCTACGATGAACGCGTTGTCGTTGACCATGACAGGTCGTCGTTCATTGATTTCGGCTTGGTCAGGGGTTGCATCAGGGTCTTCCTCCATCGTTTCGTCGCTGTCAACCTCCATCTCGGGATCCGCCACTGTACGCACGCCATCTTCTGGTTCTGGCAATGGATCAGCACAGGTCGCAGCCGTTGCCGCATCCATAGCCTGATTGATGTCATCAGTCATCCTGAGGGATCTTCAAAGGAGCCTCCTCTGCTTGCGTCATGTGGTCCATGTGGAAGGTCACACAGAAGTACCATCAGCCTTTCGATTGTTCGATAGCCTCGGTAGACGTTGGCAATTGGAGATCGACTGTACTGCATGCAAACTTCATCCTCAAGTTCATAATCCAGAATCTTCTCGACTTCTTCGAACTTGTATCGGCTTGTCACGCCAGGGATGCATAATTAGCCATACTTCCTTGACAAGCTTGAACGGAACAGGACGGTGCACGGCATCTTTCTGTCACTTTTCCTCCCTGACGCGCAAGATCTGTAATCGGCACGTACAGGACCACCAAATTGCCAAAGGTGTGTGCCTGTTTCCTGACGAACGGCACTTTGTGGTTTGGTTGCGTGGATCCCAATGCGCAAATACGCCCCAACGGCTGCGCAATCTTCCTGAGGCGCGCTCATCGACAGCGTCCCTACCAGCCAATATCCCGGGTTCCATGAGGGGCTGGAGATTGTAGCGGTACTGTGGAACTCGCCTTTGACGGAGTCAACCAGTGTGTTGGATGGTGAAGTGGCAAGTTTCGTTGGGTCAATCGGCATCAACGCATTGTCTCTGTCCGTGGAACGCCCGCTTGTTGCTCTTATTGCCCAGGGCTTGATCCATCGATCAGAAAGTCGGAGTTGCTCATGAATTGTGATTGCCAACTCCCGTCTCTGCGTTGCTGCGTCGACTAGCCCATCATCGAAAAGTCGTGCATGTGGTAACACATCGTTTGTATTCGGAGGGCCAGCGATGCGGATACCGTGAAATTGTAGGCGGATCTTGGCATTGTGATAGGCTCTGGCATTGATGTGATTCCCGTCAAACAGCATTTGAAGACGTTCATTGAATTGCTTTCGTCTCTCTTCCACATCTGTGTGGTTCAATGGGAAATCGAGTCTTCGTTTGCCGTGGGACCCAAGGATATCGTTGCTAAGAATGTCCTCGTCCTCGATCTTCACCCAGCCAGCTTCATCGCAAGGAATTGTACTGGTACTGGATCGCCTGTTGACGGAACCTGCTGCTTTGCCCAGTTTGTGCCTCAAATCGGTCTGAATGCAAGAAAGTGCTCTCTTGGCGTAGAAGTTCTACTCTTCATTGTAAAGAACTCGTGCTTGTGCACGTGGAAGCAAGCCCCAATGTGGATGGGCAAAAGAACATCCGCAATGTGGCATCAACTCCAGTATGCCGCAGTAGACCTCGTCTCCAATGTTCACGTGGGCCGGATTTGAATAATGACCTCGTTGTTCTCGTACGAGAGCATACCTTCGCGGGTCACCACGTTGCGGTAGCGAGAGATCACGTGTCCGAAATGCATCGTAGCACAGCATCATGGTTCTGCAAACCGACGCTGGGAATCTCTTCACCACATATGATGTTGACACCTCTTCGTTGAAGAACTTGAACTCTGCAATCTCGTTCCCTGTCGTATCGAATGATGAACATGCTTCCGAACACCAGTTCTGATCTTGGTCGTGGTCTCGCCTTGGCACGTGACCGCCGGGTAGATGAGGAAGCGCTTCCTGTTTCTTCCACGTCCATTGATCCCGATGCTTGAGTGCGATGTTGTTGTTGTTCACCATCATGAGAGGATGACAATGTCATAGCATTCGGCTAAGATTCGATGGCTCTCCGCATGATCTCAAACACTGCACTGCTGTGTTGAGTTTGCAATGTGCCAGTGTTGCAAGCGCGGAAAGAATGTTGAGAGCTCCCGCACGGTACACACAGTATCCCTGTACGTTCGCCACTTTCGATGGAGCCTGTGACCAAGAGGTTCAGTGCATCCGTTGATTGCTCTTGCCTTGATTGCGTCGTTGAAGTCAATATCAGCTGCTGGTTCCATCTCGCGAAAGGGCCTACCGCCACCCACCCAATACCAAATTCTGACTTCAGCTTGCCCGAAAGCCGAATGATGCTGCACTGGTCTTCTGGGGCAGCGGCGGCGAACATCAAATCCAAAATGGAGAAGAGCCGCCGCCTCAACAGGAGCACCGAAATCCAAGAAGATCCCACCAGAGCCTTCATCAGCCCCACCGAGCCCAAAGAGGCGCAACTCGCGACGTCACCGCCACCAGCGGCCACAGCCGTGCCCTGGCAGGACGAACAAAACCGGACACCCCATCAACTTCAATTCCCCAGAACCTGCCCTCATGCTCGTTCTGAAAGGCTTTCTTGGCATTCGTCAGCCTCACCACGGACGAGGGGATTCAGTCAGGGACAAAAGCACCAGCTCCAAAACGATATCACACCAGCACTGATGGGCCGCCTGGGAGCCGGGCCAGAAAGAGCACGCAGCTCCGTCTCGTTGAAAACACCCTTCTCGTAAAGGAGGCAAAGGTGAGCGGCCTGAGCGTACTCGCAAGCTGAGCAGTCTCCCATAGCGAGAGTGTTCAACCCGACGTGCACGCGGGACCCCATCTGCACCAAGCCCGGCCCGAAGACTTCATCGATTTCCTGCTGCGTCAGAGAACCAGACAAGCAATTGCGAACCATCCGCTCCCGGCTGACCTTGAACTGATACAAGAAGTCTTTAAGGTCTCTGCCCGAGCAGAGTAGGCCGCATCCAGGCGGCACAAAAATCCCAGCCACCTTCTCAGCAGATGCCAGGAACTTCGTCCACTTACTCAAGAGCACCTCGTAAACATTGGCACCTCGCCCGTCGAGGATAAGCCGGTCCCGCTCAAAGTCCTTCACAACGGCAAAGAGACCAGAGCTGATGCCCGAAGCTGCTTCAGCACAATCAAGTACCCCTAGTCGGCCTGAAGACGCCAAGCTTCAGCAAGGCCAGCTTGCTGCCGGGCGAGGCCATAATACTCGACCTGGGCGGGGGAGGCTCACGAAGATCACTAAGGCGAGGCCGAAGAGGATGTTCATACACGTTTCTGGTCACAGGGTCCATGAAGGGAACTGGGTCAATTCTGGGGGCGTCAAGCATCGTGATGCGGCTTGCCTCAATCGACTTGAACGTAGCATTTATCACTTTTTCGCTCCGAAGCTGGCCACAGGTAGTCCCGTAATCCTTTTCAAGAGCCCCGGCTGCCTATAAACCCTATAAACCCTAAGCCCTAAACAGCAAACAAAGATCAACACCAGGAGCCCCACAGCTCCTCCGTAGTTCGGAGGCCGAAGCGAAGTCCAACTGCCTGGAAGAAGACCGCGCGGATTCCGAAGGCTATGGGGGCTCCGGGGCTTTGGGTTTTGTTTTTCTGCAGGGCGTGCTGTCCTGATGGCTGCAGGGTAGTGGGTCAACCTGCTCCGATTCTCTAGCCAAGCACGTGCACACAGAACCGGCTTTGGCATCCCTGCTCCGATTCTCTAGCCAAGCACGTGCACACAGAACCGGCTTTGGCATCCCAGGGCCCAAGCTCCGAGACAACAGGTCTTTTAGCATGAGCTTCTCGATGGCCGAGTAAGTCTCCTCCGGACTTTCGCGCAAAGCTTGACGAAAAGCCTTGCGTGCCATGTTCTTCCGGCTGGAGACCCCCGCCGCCTTCTTGAGACCCTTATCCTCCTGAGATGCCATCCAGCGCCTGCTCCAACCGAGAGCCTCGCTTCACCTTGTTCGCTTGCAGGTCCTCCACCAGGGCAGTGCGCTTCACAAGGGCCGCTCCCACAGCGTCTTGCGGGGCAACAGGTTCCAACGTCGGAGATGGGACAGCCATCACCCTTCCTGCGCCTTGGCCTTCATCTTCGGACTCGTCCAGAACAGGGGCCGCAGTCTTGATAGCAGGAGCCGGAATTTTTTAGCCGCCGCGCCGGATTCGACGCTAACAGCTGCGAGAACTGGTTGAGCACGTCCACCTCGACGGACTTCACGACACCGGGGTCCAGGCCATGCAGCTCCAATGGAGGAGTGGGCGATGCTGTAGCCTTCTCCTACGCACCTGCTTGGACGTAGCCAGGGTGCCCAGAGATCGCTCCAATCTCGCTTAGATCTGTCCTCCAACGACGGCTGAGGCCGCTGGCCCTGGCCTTCGGCCGGGGGGGTCCCTCGCCCGTCGTTGCCGTAGCGAACTGGTACTTGTCCTTCGCGACCGTCCGCAGTAGTGGAGGGGTAGCCGATCTCCACGTCGTATTCGAACTCGAACTTCTCCACCAGAGGTCTGCCAAGGAAGCCCAACCATATCTTCAGCCTTCGGTCGCTTAAGACAGCGTCGCGATCTTCCCTGTCGGCACCAGCAACTTCAACGGCGACTGGCTTGCCGAGGGCTCCGGCGGGGTTGCGATTCAAGGCTTGGCGATGCCAGCCAGCTTGGGGCACAGCAACCAGACAAATCAGGATCACCTCCAGGTACGTTTCAGCTGCACCCTCCGCAGGCAACAATTCAATTTCAGCACACCACCCCGTCCTCTTCTGCAACCTCAGCACTCATGGGTCCCGGGGAAGCGCGAAGCCTCCCGCGAACAGTGCTATACGAATATCCCCTTTGCTCCGCAGACCCACGAACACAAAATCGCCTGCGTCCTTGCCCCGCTTGATCAAGGGCTTGCAATCAGCAAATCGGGAAAATATCAGGGGAGGCGAGTGCACCCTTCCACTGTATTCCCGAACCACCACCCGATGCCTCGAAGCCAAATCAAGGGAATCACGGCCGGACTCCCCGCGCTGGCGCCCGTCCAAGGCGCGGCGCACAAATTGATCCACCTGGCGGCAGATGAATTCCCGATCCACCGGCTGAGGGGCAGCTGCCGAAGAGCTCGGCAGAGAAGAGAAAGACCCCAGTTGTTAGCGCAAGCCTCGTTAAGGACAGAACTGGGCCCAACTGTTGGGTCATCCACCAAATCAAACCCCTGCTCCTCCAGCTCCGACACTCGCAGCTTAAGCCGAATAACCTCGGCCCTCAAATCCAGCACTTCCGCTCGCAGCTCGGCAAAGTCGCGGGCAGGAACCCCGGAGCCGCTGCTCATGCGACGCCGAGGGCTCACAGGAGCCGGTACAAAGGAACCCTCGACGAGAACCCCTCGCTTCGGGCCCCGATCTTCGCAAAGCAGCTCTGAACAACAAGATGCGGGCAGTGAGTATCGCTTCGCACAGAGGGACCAGTAAGAGGCCAATCAAGATTCCAATGAATATTGAAAGCAGATGAATCTTGTGATCAAACTTTCGCCAACCTCTGAACGCTCGACCGGGCAGATTGCTTCCAGAGACCTGTCCAACAAAGAGTCCACAGGCGTTTCGGGAGGCACAACCGGAGCAGGAGTCGAGAAGAAACGAAGAGCGTGAAAGAGCAGAGAGAGTGCTGAAGTCGCCCCTGTGGCTGCCAGGGCTCTAGACATGGAGCCGGAAAACTTCAGTCGTAGGGGTAAAACATGAGCAGGCATGTGCGAGGGAGTTTGCTTATGCATGTTCTAATACTGAGTCGAGACATCGACGCTCAGATTTCAGAACTAGGTAGACGGACAGGTTGATACACACACACACACAGAGATTATAGATATGTTATGCACCCGGCCCCGTCTCTTTCGTCTTACAATTAGGGAATCCCCTGCTTGCTGTGGACATGACGTTGCCTTAAATTGCCCCCTCCCGTAGAAATGTGTATATGTTGGGCCACATTCGGACTGGGTCTGTCATCCTCCTTGTGCGCAAATGTTTATGGATGTTGCGTTCATTTCCCCACTTCTACCTGTGGGTATGAGTTTGCTTGGAATTAGCTTCGCTCCCTTCCTTCGTCTGGCAAACTCGTGTATACTCTTCCGTCTCTTCTGCGCAGTGCTACTTTTTGCATTGCTCACTGTTCTTGTATATGTGTCCTTGTATGTAAGGCCATTTCCACACCTGCCGCCACGCCCCCTCTCCAACAAACCAACAACAATGAAGTCTCCTCTGTTTGAAAGCCGGCGCTGCCTGGCCGAAAAACTGAGAAGCTACGGCCTGAAGAGAAAGACCTTAAGACTAGGCTGAAGAGGGAGGAAGAATGGCTGAATGGCATTTGAGGGGTGACACGCGCCTCCAGCCTGACACAAATGACCCCCAATTTAAGAATACCGCAGCGGGGCATGTCCTTGCAGTGAGGGAACCTTCCCCACCCTATGCATCGAGGCACCACTCCGCAGGAGCCTGTAAGCAAGATGGCGAGGTCACTGGCCTGGCAAAGCTTTCGAGAAACCAGATAAAGTTTCCCTGAAGTGTTGCTGTTACTGCCTCGAGGTGTGCTGCTCTCAAGGCTTCCAGCGGTAAGACATCCCAGAAACCTTGCACCAAGCACCTTAGCATGCAGGACATTGCAGAACTTTTGTCAGGAGGCAGTTTTTATGTAGCCGTGCTGCTGCAGCTCTTCCCGGAGCTCACTGCAAAGGAAAGCCTCACAGAGGAGGACAAGATACCTGGCAGAGACCACATCACGCCTTCCCATCTCCGGTCCTGACTAAATCGACGAGGCCTGTGCAGGTTCTCCTTTGTCACCTTGCGACAGGCTCCACCAGGTTCCAGCTCCTCTCAAGTCTCCACAGGTGATCGAATGACTTTCGAGACACAGTCTCCTCGGCAGGTCGGAGCTCCGTAGGCACAGACCTGAACGGAAACGTGCGACACGCCCTCAAACACATGCAGCTCGCTCCCAACAACTCCAGGGGACAGAAAAGTCAAAGGCTCGCCCAGAGCTGCCTCAACCTGCGAAGCACATCTCAACAAAAGAGGAAGACCAGAAAGCCCATCAGTACAACTCCGTGTGCTGCGCAGTGAATACAAACGAGTCCGCATTTCTGACCACAGAAGTCCATTCGACAGATCTGCTTACTCATTGTTGAGGTCTGTCGAAGATGACAAGCTCCAAAGTAGGCAGCTCGAGAAGCCAAAGCGCACATGAGCTCAGACCACCAAGTTCAAGGCACCCACAGGAGTCCTAAAGTTCCATTCATTGGGCCTCTTCCAGACCGTCCGGGCTCAGCAGCGGCTCCACCTCAGCGGCTAATCCTGCGCTAAGACCGCCTGTCTGCTGAGCCCACTGCCCGCTGTCGATAGAAATCACTGTCCAGGAGCTTCCTGAGATGCGAATTCAACGAGGCTGGGTGTTTGTGAGGCTGTTGGCGCGGATAAACGGAGAATGCCAAACGACACGCGAAAAGCCGAAAAGCGAAAAGTCGAAAAGTTGCATTGGATCAAGATTTTGCACGAAAAACCAGAAAACCCGAAAGGCGAAAAGTCAAAAAAAAACCGCAAAAAGTCGAAAAGTACTGCAAAAAGCGAAAAGTCGAAAGGCCGCGAAAAGTCGAAAAGCGCAGCTAGACGCGAAAAGTCGAAAAGTCAAAAACCGCGACAAGTCAAAAAAGTACGGTGGAAGGCTACAAGTCGAGAAGTCAACAAGTCGAAATATCGAAAACGATAGAAAACGTCAAAACCCATAACCACCGAACAAAGGGAAAACTCAACGAGTCTCGCCAAACACGACTGAGACGAGTGCTTCCGAAGCGTTCGCCTAACCCGAAGACCGAGCTCGGCCAAAAGTATCTATGGTTTGGATACTTCAATCTTGGATGAGCCCGACATTACTTGACACTTGGTGGTTCCAGACCCGATACACAGGTCCAACCTGGTGCAGTCGGAACCACGAGATGCTCAAAAGTCATTGAAACTTGCCTGTAGGGTCCCACAAAAATCTGAAAAATACACCAGAATATGGATGGCTCCGTTCGTTTGGGGTTGATAATACCAAATCACTGAAATTTGCGAGTTTGCGGTTCCCAAGCCTGTTGAGAATCAGCAGAAGTATCCCAAAACCGAGCAATAGAAAACTGCGTATGGTTCTGCTACTTCTGGATGCTTGAAACACCTAGATGCAAAACATGCAGCTGGGTGGCTCCGAAGACCTAAGCAACAAACAACAATTCCATATGGTTTTGGCTACTGTTTGTTGTTTTTTTTGAACCAAACTTGTCAAATAACACTGAAAGAGCACACCTGAAGAGTTCGCCAATCCGAAAACTCAGCAAAATACGCATGTCCTGGCTACTTATTGGTGGCTTGGGCGGAACCGGAAATGGTTTGACATTCAGCAGAGTTTGCCATTAAGCTCGATTCTGCTGAAAGTCACTGCCACGACGAGTGACAGTACTAATTACGACGACAACTGCCAACTGCCACTCGTTTTCACATATTTTCCACGGCCAGACCTTACTTACCCCTATCCATCCCAACCTCTTGGCCTGCCTACCCCCAGTCGAGCCCTGGGTTTTCTGCTGCGCTTACGCCTGGAACTACAGCCCAGGGTACAGAGCTTTCGTGTGAAAACCTGAAAACATCGACAAAGCCGACAAGTGCCGAACATTCCAAACGCCCAGAAAAATGCAAAAAGCCGAAACACCCGTAAGCATACAGAAAAGTACGAAAACGCACAAAAATCCAAAAATGGAAAAGCAGAAAAGCCCGGCAAGTATAGAGAATTGCGAAAAGCGTAGACAAACAAGAATAGTCGAAAACCCGAAAAACACCGAAAAGTGCGAAAAGCACAGAAAAATGCGAAAAGTCGAAAAGCCGAAAAGTCAAAAACCTTTCGACTTTTTTATTTTCGATTTTTCGAGATTTACTTCGGCAAAAGAAAAACTGCTCTGTGATCAGACTATATCATTCGGTTTCGACTGCAATGACCTTGTTGGGTGCGTAGAAACGAAACGGCACCAGCCCTCAGACATCAACCCCAGCAACTTGTGACTTGGCTGGATCGCTTCGGTGTTTTCTTTACCCCGCCCCTGTATTGACGACTGTGGCTTACAAACCGGGAGCAAGCTGCGCGGGGGCGGAAGAGGATGGGCGATACTCCTTTTTCACTTGCCGCTGCAAATCACCCCCCCCCCCTCCCACACTCCCTACAGCTGATCAGCAAAGCTGGGTCTCAAACGAAAGCTCCTCCCTCCATGAAGGGAGCTTTCGTAACTTTAGACTTTTAGACTCTTTAGACTTGAAGTCCCAAGCTTCATGTCGGAGAGCTCCACAGGAGCTCCAACCAAATATTTGCAAACGAACCTGAGATGCCAAAACGGGTGAGGTGAAGCAAAGGCTGGGAGGCATCCTTGCCTAAGGTGGGCTTCGTATGTGCGAGACAAATTGCGGTGACAGCGGCATCGGCAGGGGTCGACCTCACACATCAGTGCGGCATGCAGAGTTGTTCTTGTGACTTGAACAATTACCTGGTGGCGGGTCGGGGCATGACACGATCCCAAAGTCTGTTCTGAAGGCTCCAAGCCTGAACCAACCTTCATCCATGAACCGCGGGGATACTCTACATGGCAGTACATGGCATTACATATAGAGACGCCCCCTGGAAGTCAGCCAAAGCGAATAGCACCTCCATGGAGGGTTGCCAGAGCAAGGAAGCGACCACAAACGAAAAGATCGCGGTAGCGCCCTGGCAGGCACATGACGGCGCAGAAGGCTTAGCCGATTTAGCCTTCGGCCTTCGGCACTGTCATCAGCCTCCTTGCGCACTGGCCGTGGGATCAGCATCCTCGTCATCGATGCAGAATCTCAGAAGCCGCCAGTACAGTGGGCCTAGGTGCAGCTCCTGCTGCTGGCGCCCATTGTCAGAATGGAAGCACTCTCGTCGCTGCCTGACGCCACGGACTGATCTTGAAGCCCCTAAGTACAAAGCAAGAAGAACCAAGCACGACCCGTTTCTTTAGAGCGGGGAGGGGGCTTGTCCGCTTTCCATCCCTGAGTTCCAGCAAACAGCCACCGTCTAGAATGTTTCCAGAGACTGTGTGATCGTAACGACGGCCGTGAGACATGCAGCGAGCACCTGCATCTGCAGCGAGTGCATGACCTACGCCACAGAACCAATCCTGAGATGGGAGACGCCATCCAACATAATTTGGTACAAGTGACATTCACGCTGCGTAAACTGACAGAGCAAAAACAATACTCGCCTGCGCGACTCCACCTTGATCTTGAGCCTGCTCGCCTCTGCCCGGTGCTGATACTGACTATGCAGTCATGTGGTTTCAGACTCGGCGCTTGAGAAGCCCTGCCTGCATACTCTATCCGTAGCTTGGGCGCTAAGAGCTCCAAGTAAGCTGCCTTCGCAGTCTTGCACACACACAGCTGCTTTAAATATGAGTTCGTGTCATTGTCTCAATGGGCCCTGTGGCATCACTGCAGTGCCTCCTGCAAAGCTTCCCAACTGTCCTCGAGTATGTTGCTGCGACGGATGTGGAGCTCAAAGTGCTCCTGCAGAATCTCCTTCGAATCAAAGAGATTGCACTGCATGCCGGAGCAGCAAGGCAGTATGAACACGGAAGAGTGGGCGTGCAACTCAAAAACTCGAATCGGAGCAACCGCATCGAGTTCAAAGGTCTGAAATCGTCTGAATGCCATGGTTTGGTCTGGGTCACCTGATTGACTGCTTCGACTGCTGAGTAGGGAATGCTGTTGTGGCGCGCTCAATTTTTCAGTGAGCTGAAGGTTGTGAGCCGGCATTTGAAAAATTTGCCCCCCTCTCTCCAAAGAGCCTGTAAGGCTGGGTGTCATCCGCGTACGCCCAAAGGGCCAAGGGCGGAATTGCCCATGTCAGTGCCGTGCGTCCGACCAGGAATGTGCTGGAGGATCTGGAGGGAGCATACCTGCCGACTGTCAGACTCGGCCTGTGAGGAAGAGTGATTCTGCTCCTGATTGGTCCTGACTGTGAGTGTGGGCTTGTTGATGGAAAACCACCAACACGGAAGAGATACCGACCATCGGCCACCATAACACTCGCCAGTTAAGCAATGTATTCTTGTGGGAGACGGCACTCAGCCTCGACTATGGTTGAATCTTTGAATTGAAAATGTTTGAAAATGCAGTCTGGCTAGGCCATACATAGCTCTCTCCAATCCTTCTAGGCTTGCATCTCCTCGGCAGGTGCAGCCGTCGTGCGTGGCTGTTGAATGAGATCCCAGAACATGAGTATCTACAGCAACAGCACTGCTTAAGAAATCATTGGTTTAAGAAATCGAGCCCTATCCCATGAAAAATTAGCTGTTTCTTAACCGGCGCTGTCGCTGTACACAATCCGTCACAGCCGACGGCAGCTTTTGGCAGGAAGTTTGGGTGCTGTCAACACATTGACATTTTGGCTCTTGCTATGGCAAGGACCGTGCGGCAGCCGTGTTGGTTGCATCGACTGTCCATGTGCTTCAGTGTCATGAACCTTCCTCCCAGACTCCAATTTACCTTGGTCCTGCCGTCATCGGGGGATATTGGAGTGCACTTCAGCACTGAATGGACTCCTGAGAGCAATTGCAACTCTGTTTTTGTTTCTGATGTGTTGCACGGGCTTTTCCTTGCAATGTAAAACCAGTCTTGTCCGCACGCAGCACCACCGCAAGTCTGAAAAATTCTGTAATGTGTCGTGAGTGGTCACCATGTCGGGGGCCTCTGGACGCACCTAGAATGAAACAACCAAACTGGAAGCAGTACGTGGCTCTTTCCGGCCACACGACGCTTGTTGGCATCTGCGAAAGGGGTGTGTGAGGGCACGATGGTGGTTTCGCCTACAAATCTTCTTTGCTGTCTCGGTCCAGTCCTTCGTGTTCAGTGCATTCAAACACGAAAGTAAGCCCCGTGAAAACCTTAAATCTAGGATGAATAAGTGCTAGTCGTCCGCAAAACCCTACAAGATCCCTACAAATGCTGCTGCTGGTGTCGAGATTCCTTGCTTGGTGGGCATGGTTTATGATTGACCCAAATCTCCTCATCATCTTCCGCCTCCTGCGCCAGGAGACCACGTCGCGCATCGAGCAGGATCGGCAGCTTCTCTTTAAAACTCGCCTTGACAACGCAAGCAAAAACGTCGAGCCCCGTTGCCCCTCGCGATCTACCGGGATGCACGCACAGAGCTGTTTCGTGCCAATGCTACATAAACAAGACAGAGCAAACGACCGACCCGGAAACCATCCTCACGAGAAGCCCGGCCCCCTCGAGCACAAGACTCACATGCACGAATTGACGAACACGGGCCTAAACCTTAAGGTCCGGCATCCCCAAACCTGCGACCGCAACCGCCTTGCACGAAATGGAGCCGAGCGGCGAGTTGCTCGTCGGAAAAATTTCCGCTGTTGATGAACTGCACAGAGAAAGAACCTCAAAGGGGCAACGAGAAGCAACAAGGCCGGCAAAAGGCAAGTTTGACTGGGAAAGTCTGAACTGGATGTTACCTGCAGAGGTGTCGGAATGACTAGTGACAAGCAGACCCTTTAGCCATGTTCAGGCAGGCTGACTTTATCCCCTACAAGTACTCCTTTACTGCTTCGAGGGAAACTGGGCTGAACGACGGCATGTTGCGTGTCGTCATCCACAATGATCACCACATCTAGTTCATTCAGCTCCTGTTGACTGCAGCTAGGGGCCTCGACTGTAGTGAGTTGTCGATGGGGGATTCGTAGAGGAGAGATTATCTGAGAGATTCGCTTTGTATGTACGCGGCGAATTACATAGCGCACGACGCTGGAAAAGAAATTATGGGGGATCACCCTAGAGAACGGTGGTGCTCTTGCTTTTTCTGGTGAATTTGCAGACACCAAGGAAACCAATGCGATACCCTCAACCATTCCATCATCCCGTCAAGATGAAGGATAGCTCTTAGGCAAGCAGCTCTTTGTTCGCTGTCGGCTCGCACAGCCAGACACTTCAGGGCAGCCTTCCACGGCGTTAGCTGACGATTGCGACAGTTCCGGGCCGAAATCATCGACCACATCAAACTCCGCGCGGAAGGGCGAGGCAAGTGCCTGTCAGGGAAGATTTATACATCCCGTACAAGTGGCTCCATGCAAGAACCCCCTGCGACCCCGAGCTCGTACCATGCCCGTTCCCCAAGGACCGTCTGCAGCCCTCGGCGGAGGCGCTGTCGCGCCATCCATCGCTCCAGCCTGAAAGCTTAACATGCCTTTACTTGCATAAAGGGGTGTGTTGGTCCAGGTATGCATGTAGCTTGTACGCATATAAATATGTTCACATCTCTGTGTGGCTCTGTGCGGCTCTGTGCGTACATACACATATGTACACGCATATGTAAAATACATGAAGGTTGGTGTAAAGATACGCGGAAGCGCAAGTTCAAAACTAAGTCAAAAGGCGAGCAAGCATCCACCTAGATTTGAACGTGCCCACACCAACTTTGATAGCAAACTGAAGAAAGAGCTTGCGAAGGAACTGAAAACTGTCTGAGTCTCTTCTCATGTCTGTCTTGTAGACAGTAAACATGCCCCGACAATGACGTGAGTTGCGCTGGAGGATTTACCAACGAACCACGCACCTAACTGGCTGCCCCTAGCTCTGACCTGGCTATTTGAAACAGACAGAAGAACACGTGGAAGATAGATAAACATCTATCCATCCATACATACTTTCACGCATGGATACGTGCATACGTACATGCATACATACATATGCATTTACACGCACACAAATCACAAATGCGCACACATCATAGCTAGGTGCGTACACACGTACCTAAGTGTGTATATGCATATATTATATACATTATATATACATTATATATACATTATATATACATTATATATACATTATATATACATTATATATACATTATATATACGTTATATATACATTATATATACATATATACTTCTTCTTCACACGCCGCAAGAAGATCTCGCGTTGCGATGAGGCAGCGTATTGCCGGCATCTTGTGATGCATGCCGAATACATCGGCACCCAGAACTCAGAAAACAAATGCTTTCGGAACTGCTTGCCTCGGACAATGGAAAGGTATACATATATACATATTTATATATGTATGTATGTATGTATGTATATATATATGTATATATATATATATATCGCATCTACAAGTGTACATGCACCTCATGGCGACGACGTGGTACACCACGGCTGCAACCTCAGCTTGCACAAAGCACAGGAGGCACATGTTCAGTCCATGTGGGCCATTCGTCATCCTTGTGTCAGCCAGGCTACACACAAGGGAAACACGAGGGCGGCACCCCACTCCACAGCTCGTAGACCTGACGAGCATCTGTCCAATCATGATTTGCAAATAAGTGCCTCACTGGTTCTTCTTGAGACGTCACTAGCTTCGCCACCGCCAGTTTCATCCTCCTGCTTCTCTCGTTCGTCCTGCTCCTCCTCTTCCTTCTTCAGCGCTCCCGCCTTCTTCACATTTCGCCTTGTCACACTAAAACAACATCACGACCCCTTATTTGCAGTATGTTGCATGTCCTATGTACGACTGCTACGGGAATTTGTGCTTCTGTTGCACCTGTTCTTGAAGGTTTGGCGGCTATGTGGCAGGATCTTCCCTTGACTCACAAAGAGTGACGAACCTGAGGGGGTCTGTTTCCCACGGAGGGGGCTGTGCATCAGCAGGGGCAACCCGCCACTTGAAACGAACAGAAGCAGCAGCAGCAGCAGCAGCAGCAGGCGGAGCGGTGGCAGGAGCATAATTCAGCGTTGTCCTGACTCGGCCGGTCTGTGTTCCGTGAAAGTCTGGCGCAAAGTGGCGGCAGCCAGGTTCACGGTTCTCCTTCTTAACTACTCATTTAGCATGGGTCCTAGATTCCTAGATGCTATGCTTTCCGGGACTATCTGAGCAATCATTTGTCTGAGCGGTACGGGCTGTTGCCTATGGTGTGCCAGATTGAGGTGCTACAATTAATTGCCAGAATGAAGAGCGCCAGCCCAATGTGAAATCAGCTTCTCAACATGCTTGGCGCGAACATGCAGCGATTGAAATCTGTTTGATGACAGAAGTTAAGACGCAGCTACACGACCGGCTGCGAACAACGATGCGAATTGCATACCTCATGAGTATCTGCAGCTGTCGCGCGGTAATTTGGCTCCAGCGTTTGAATCTTACCGCTCCCCTGCGTCGTTTGAGTGAGGCGTTTCCCCGGTTCATAAGGATGGACCCTATGGG